GTCTCATCTTAACTCCTCACAAGGTTATAGGCTGCTTCAACACCATCTTAATGTGACCCCAACGTGACCTAAAGAATACGTAATCAACCTGACAAAGAAAAAAAGCCTCCGACTTCCCGCCAGTCAATCAGAGCTGAGGAAGTCCAGCTGCCCTTCACTTAACCCTTCAGGACACAGATCAGTTACTGAGAGCGGCCTTATTGGATCCTATTTCATCACCTCGCTGGTGCCTGCAGGAATATACCCACAACGATACCTTCTAACAAGCTCTGCAGCACAATAACTACCCAGAGTCACCTTTGGTAGGATCTGAGCAGCTGGCAGGGAAGCTGGATTCAGATGTGGGGGATGAGATTTAAAAAGAAAAAGAAAATGCTGACCTTAAGGTTGTAGAGCAAATGCTTTGCAGCCCATGACACATGAAACATAGCTAAGAAATGGTGCATCATAATTTGAAGATTGGTTTCTGGTTAATAACACAGAAAAAAACCTGGCGGGCAATAATGCAAAGGTTTAAAACTACAGCGGCACGTAAGCTTATCGAGAACATGGAAGGAGAAAAGGATTATATATGCGATTATATCAGACAATGTTTGAGTCAGCAGGTTTCCTGTCAGGACTGGGGTTCAATGAAGCTGCTATGTTACTACAAAAACATGTCCGATGACTCATGGTGATGAGAACAAAACTCTCCAACCTCTGCTGCTACAGAACAACTTCAACATGTCAGAAAATGGCCAGTGTGGGTATAACGCTGAATCTGTGATGCACGGACTCTTTAAGGAAACAATGTTGGGCAGTGAAAGACGGCTTTGCTGGTTAGTTATGTGGATCATTAACACTCACATCTGGAAAATAAGAGCTAAAGTTGCTACTGAACAGTTTAAAGGTGCAGTTAGTTGTTTTTTTAGTTTATTTAATAGAAAAAAATGAATTTTACATTTATGAATTTACACTGATTAGTGTGTAATTACGTCTTCCAACAAACTGATGAGCTCTCATAAAATTAGAATCAATTGAAAACACACAGGAGCAGCATTCCTTTGTGGAAGCTGCTGTGTTACCCCGCCATCTTGAAAACAGTGGCTGAGACGTACATTGGTGTTCTGCCTAATCATGTTTTCTATATTTGGACAGTAAGCGTGCTTATTTATTAATGATATCGTCACACTTACTTATTGTCAGCAGATTAGAGATGCGACCCTCCCGTCTCCGGACAGCTGACAACAAGCCGGCTAAACGACAACAACATCCGGCTATAAGCTAATGTTTGGCTTGAGTGTCCTAAAATCACACTTTCCCTCTGACAAACAGCTTGATCAGATTCTCACATCGTATAAGGGTTTCTTCACTAAGTGTGCTGTGTTGCAGCTACACCCTCCAACTCACATTTCTTATGATATTTAAAGTGTGTTGTGATCTAGGACGCTGAATGTGGAACCACTGAGCAGAAGGAAAAAAGAAAGCCCAGAGAGAAGATTCATGGATGTAGTAAAGGAAGACATGCAGAGGCTTGGTGTGACAGAGGAGGATGATAGAGATAGAGTGAGATGGAGACAGATGATCTGCTCTGGTGACCCCTAAAGGGAGCAAGAAGAAGAAAAAGAAGAAGAAATCTAAACAGTTTTGCCAAATCAAGAAGAAGAGAAGGGAGAATGTTGTGATCTCTTGTGTGAGTAGAAAAATCAACTGCTTCAGCATCTAAATGTGGAATTTTTCAGCTTTTGAAAATGGAAAATGTGCATTTCATGAACGTGGACATGAATGAGCAGACATTAGAGCGGTCTGATTAAAAAAATTGTTTTCAGGGACACAAAAAAACTGGAAGATTCACGTCCACAAAAACGAATCAATATCTTACAAGTCGTGACTACTTCACAAACTCCTTTAAGACTGTTGTGAGTATCGATGTTGTACTGACTCTTCATCCAACTTTTTCAATTCCAACCTTAAGTTTTTTTTCATCGTGGGGGGACCCGCTGTAGACATTAATCAACAAGAAATAAAAACAACACAGGCAACATCTGCAACATGAAGCTGAAGCAGAGCTTTTTTTAAAGCACCAAGAGCGACCGAGGGGTGAAAAAGCTGCTCCTGCTGCGTTCTATGAACACCAAAAGCAGCTGGAAACAACCTTTTCCCCCAAATTCACATCAGTAGAGATTTAGCCACAATCTGCAGCGACACAGAAACGGCAGATTAAAAGTGAGAGCTGATTCTCTTTTCTTGGACATCATAAGCCTTTAAATAGCAGCCTGCCTCATTCGGCGTCACACACACTCGGGGACTAAGTTGAGAACATGGCCACAGTCCAGGAATAATTAAAAGCAGGACAACAGACAGACTCCTGTGTCGACGGGACAGAAATCACCACAAAAATAACAGCAGGGAAGGGAGACAGACGGAGGCTGCGTTCACATGTGTCTCTGTGTTGTAACGCTCTCCCTGATCTCATGTTTGTTCAGCGAGTGTCAGCAGAAAGACGTTTGTGTTAGAAAAACAGAGGTCAGCTGATATCAGCATTCAACGCATCAATTTGAATATCTGAATGTTCCTGAGCTGTTAATTAAATTTTACAGCATTTAACCAGAGATAGGTTTAGTCACAGGGCAGCAGTAGGAATGATAATGACACGGGCAAAAACAGTGAAATACTGCAGTGGAATATAAAAGAAATGACAATAGACAAAACACTACCTGAAATGTGTGGAAAGCAAGCAAAGGAAACAGGTACAAAAACACACTTTCATAACATCGCTGTCAGTTCGTATAAAGGCCTGTTTACATTGGATAAATATCACCAGGTGACCCCAAGCGATCTGTAATAACTGCAGCAGTTGTCTTTGCTCTTAATCTTGTGCAAATCTGCCATGTCTATAATCTTCATAATAAAAAAAACATCAAAAGCAGAAGTAATACATCTACTCCTGTGTGAGTAAATCTTTTTTAAATGTGTTTTTTCCCCATCCTTTTAAGGGCAGAGCATCACAGAAGGCTGATAGTGGAAATTATTAATGAGAGTTTTAATAGAATTCTGGGTGCAAATTCATGAGGCTCAGCGTGGAGACCCATTACATTTCAGTCTCATCTGCAGATAATCCTCTGGATTTGCTCAGTAAATTTGGGTGAATCGCAGACTTCATTTATCCTGTGAGAAGGGGCGGGACCAGAGGGATGGCTAGTGGTGTAGTGTCCCCTCATACAATCTGACCATCCTCCCAAAACAACTATGAAAGGATGTATAATGATCAAGATGTAAAAATGTATGAAGATGTATGAAAAGATGTAAGATGATCTTAAGGACATAAAATCACCAGGAAGGGATGCCAAATGAACACAAATGGTGTTACAGTTAGCCCAAAGATACAAGAACAACCACAATCAGATATAAATGACTTCAGAGAGCAGCAAAAGACAAAACCACCACAGAAGGGAAGCAAAATGAAAAATAAAAGAAGAAAAACAAAGACACAATGTGACCATTAAGGGAAGGAAAATGTAGAGAAAAGGATACAAAATGATGCATATAAACACAAAATGACAATAAAGGATGGTGAAAAGGTACACATGATTCTACAGAGGGATGGAAAAATATCCAGGGACACAAAACCACAGCAGAGAAAAGGGATGCAAAATAATACCAGAGATACAAAATTAATATAAACAGATGCAAAAGGGCCACAATGAGAATCAAAATGCCCCCCAAAAATGCAATACAAATACAAAAGGATAGAAGATGACCTCAATGTTAAGCAAAATGCCCCCAAAACACAAAAGAAACCAGAGAGGTAAAAAAAAAGAAAAAAAAAGAAGCCCAATAAGAAGCAAAATCAAATGAGTGTTGAAAGAGAAATGAAAGAAATGCAAAATGACTACAATGGAATGCAAAATGGCACAAGGAGGACTCAACAACAAAACAACAAAATAAAAGGTAGCCTGGTAAACAACTAAACAACATAACAACAACAGGTAGAAAGAGACCACTAAGTGGCACAAAACAACTTTAAAGTGCTAAAGATCAACACAATAAATAAATAAATTCCAAGAACCACAATAGGAAACAAAAGAATGTTAGAGAAGCAAAATGTCCCCAAAATAGATAAAAGAAACATAGAGCAAGAGAGAGGAACCTGTTCTAAATGAATACAAAACAAAAAGCTCCAAAAACAAAGGGATGTGAAATGGCTCCAGAGATTTTAAAAATGACCACAAAGGGATCCAAAACAACCACAATGGGACACAAAATGACCACAACGAGACACACAAGACCATGAAATAACCATGTAGGAGTATGAAATATCTCAAGAGTCAGAAAATATCCTCAAGGGGATGCAGACAGACGTTGAAGAAAAGCAAGCTAAACCCACAGACACAGTGGGACGCAAAATAGTGCAAGAGAGACACCAAATTATCCAAAAGAGATACAAAGTGACTACAAAGAGAGGTTACATGCCCCAGAAGCACACAAAACAACAACAAATGAACAAAAAATTAGCACATCCCAAACAACCAAAATAGGATTTAAAATAGCCATAGGGAGGCAGGAAAAACCATCAAAGATAAGCAGCCTACCACAAAACAGATGGGATGAAAATTAGCTTGAAGAGAAACTAAATAACCAATAAAAACACAAAAATATCACAGTGGGATGTAAAATGATCATAAACAGACATAAAATAACCACAGAGAGTTATACTACATGACTCAAAAACAAAAACATATGCAAAACAACCACAAAGCATGCATGGATCTTCCTAAGCGTGTGCCTCTGTGCAGAGATCTTCAGGCAGGTCTAATGCAAAGAAACAGCGAAAGAAGATAAGGTATGAGCTCCATCAATAACACAGAGACTGTCAGTGTGAATGCAGCCTCAGAACTGGCAGCGTAAAGCCAAAGTCAGTCACTGATGAGTTAATGGAGAGTGAAAGGCGTGGGAATAATGTGGGAAAACGAGGAGCACACACGAACAAGGGTGTGACTGCAGCATCTTCTGCCGCCTACCTGCTCTTTGACAGAAGCCAGGAGGTTGGTGGTGGTGGTGCCGCTGGAGTCTGTAGGGTGGCCGTGACCACTCGGTCCCTCTCTGGCCACCATGGGCCCTTCCCCCTCTGTGTCACCCTCCTCCATCGCCTCTACCTGCCCGCTGTAGTCCAGAGCCGGCTGGGTGCTGAGGCGCCCTCTCTGACCCTGCAGGGGGACTACAAGCCGGTCAGGATGTGGACAAGGAGGAGGCACAATGACCAGAAAATCACTGTCACATCCCCCGGGGGGGGGGGCACTGAGCGTGTCACAGGGTGAGTTTACAGGGGAGCACCCTCTACAATAACCCTGCAGGGATTCACACTGTTTTTTATAAACCTCCCTAATATCCCTGCAGAGACTCATACTGATTTTATAGTGACCTTATGGTATCACTACAACACCCCTATGGAGGCTCATGGTGTGCTTTTCTTTTATGCACCTACAGTATCAGCCTCTGTAGGGATTCATAATGAGGCTCACTGATTAGATTAGAGTGCTTTCCCTTATATGTGCTTTAATCTCCTTGGAATTGTGAGGCATTTCAGCGGGGATTTAACCCTTCTGTGCCGCATGTGACTGCAAATGTCTCCACAATTTACAGTTGCAGTAGTGTAAATGTTATGCATTGCATTTGAAGGTGTGCATGCAAGCTGCACGGGAGGCATTTAGCAACATGTCACGTTCAGGATCCTTTTTTTTTTTTTTTAACCCCCGTTTCTTTTCTGGGCGATAAGCGAAGAGCCTTGATCACATCTGCACACCAGCCTGACTGTCACACATCAATCACTCATCCACCATCCGGCAGCCAAGGACGAGGTCACACCGACTCACCGGACCGGAGACCGGGGAGCGCGGCTGTGTCAATCCGAGCCTGCCTCTCTTGAGCTGCGCTGCCCGCCCTCCTGCCTGGCAAGCGGCTGTCAGTGAGGACTCACCGGCCAGATGTTGCTGTCAGAAGCAGGCCACAGCTGGCTTGATCCGTCCTGTTACACATCCATCCTCCACCTGCGGACGGCCGTGACAGCTACTACATTTCCCACGCGCCGACGTCAAAAATAAACAAACAGTCCCCGTGCACGTCCTCGCGCTCCTCCTGCAATTATGTGTTTTCCCCCCTCCTCTCCTCTCCTTTTTCTTTTTCACCTGCTGTGGGGTTTCGGTGCACTCATCCACCCCTGGCGTCCGCGCGGCACCCAGCCACCCACCCACCAATCAACCCGCCCAGCCACTATTACCGATCAGCGGCGTGACGTCACCATGCGGCTACGAATTGCTTTCTGATACGATAATCGATCAGCGGTCACCGATGCCCCACCGTTACATGCGTTGCTGCAGCAGCTGCAGCCGTGCAGATGCGCGGAAGCTCCGTGCAAACTCCGTGCTGGAGAGGAGGGATGCAGCCCGCGTGCGCGCGCGTGTGAGTGTGTTTTCTCCCCTACACAAACCTCCGTGGGCCTGAGTGGTCATTATGGGACTCCCAACGGTAAATTTAATAGTAAAGTTTATGAAGCACTTCAGGATAACTTATGGAAATTATTTTATGGAAGCCTTTTTACGCCAGGATAATAAAACAATTAAACTATTAAACCACTCTATTCAAATCAATACAGATGAAATATTAAGAGATTAAGAATCTGAGTATTTTAATACACATATTTTGATGACGTTCTTGCCCCGTGTTAGCTGACTACAGTGGCAGTGGAAACCCACCAGTACTTGTCCCTAACAGCTAGCAGGATGGGGAATACAACTGATAGCTGCAATCAAGTTAACATATTTTGAAACTTACCATGAACTCCTGTGACTTCTGACACTTTTTCCAGACTTCTCCTGTCACACAGCCCTGGTAAGCTTGCTCTTCATTTCCGGTTTGCTGGTAGCAGGTTGTTTTTTTTTTAGCTGAAATGTTTTAACTTCCAGACATCATGTTACAACTGTAGTGGAGCAGATTTACAATAGATTAGGAGATTTTGTGGTTGTATATCTGTTTAAATGCATATGCTATGTATGCTATAATCTTATCAGACTAAGATTTTGTGCTTTTATTTTATTTAATTATGTATATGCTTCTAAATTACACTAATGTAAGGTGACCTGGAGAGTTTTGAAAAGAGACTAAAAATAAAGAAAATATTGTTTTAAAGTTGTTGTTTTTTTAAAGCTACTACAAATTTCATTTTGTTTTCAAGCTTAAATATGAACACACCTTTACTCATCTTTAAATAGGTGTGTGTGAGAAAGCATCCACATTTGGTGTAGAAAGAAAAGGAGGAGCTTCGTTAGTAGATTCTCACGCTCAGAAAGAAAAGCAAAAGCAGAACACAGGTACATGCACATGCCCATTTATTTAAATGACAATTAAAGAGTCTGTGTGCGGTCTTAAACGTAAGCATGGTCTCTGTTTAACAGCTGCCTTCTTCCGTCTCCTCTGGTGCACCTTAAGTAAACTTGCAGATAGAAAGCAAGACGAGTGACAAGACTTCGGGAAGGAAGCTGCAAAGTTAAGCCACTAAAAGGTTTCCCACTACTGGTTTGTAAACCGATAACGCCACCGGCTCACACGGAGCCGAGGAAGACACATGACAAAACACTGCTTTTTTTAATAACTGTGAATACCTGAATATTTAACAGCTTGTTAAAAATAAACCCGCTCTTCAAAGCAAACCGTTTCAAAAGATGATACATTCGACGTTCCTTGTACTGCAAAGTAAAATACCGTGCCGGTAAAAACATGTTGGAAACACCACACAGAGATAAATTATGCATCACTGATTAAATATATTAAAACCAGACAGCCGTGTTGAACATGAAACATCCCTAGTAAGGGTTTTAAATTCTTTCCAAATGAGAGTCCGTTACTGCTGCAGCATTTCTGACATGCAGGTGATGAATTTGTTGGATGTATTAGGAGAAACACGTCACTGCTATCCTTTTCATTTTAAGAGCAACCCCCCCCTGAACAAATGTCCCTGAAGGATTAGGGTTTCTGCTGTCACGGTTACGCCTCAAAAGTTAAAACTATTAAATGACTCAAAGCTGAAATGTCCATCAAACACAGAAATCCATTACTTTTTT